GCTTCCAATTTTCTCAGGAGATCTTGTCCCTTTCCCCTTCTCCAGGGGATCATACATGTCTCTCTTAGGGTCCTCCTTGTTTACCAGCCTCTCCGGCAGCCTGGGCTGCAGGCTGGCAATCTATCTTTGAAGAACTATTTTAGAAAACTAGGTGACCAGCACTGTAATACTGCTTTAAGACTCAGATCACTAGTAACCATAATATATGAAAAGTAATCACATGGCTGGTAAGATGGTTCACTAACCAAAGACACATGGCACACAAAGTCTAGAGACCTAAGTTCAATTCTTGAATCATAAGTAAAAGTGAAAGGAGAGAATATATTTGTTTCCTATCTCCACATGTCAGCCACACACACACACACACACACACACACACACACACACACACACACACACACACACACACAGACACACACACACTATAATAATATAAAAAGTAAATTCAAAACGAAATGTTAATTTTCTTGTATTTATTGTTAAGGGGAACAAAGCTCCTATAACAGTTTTATGCCTCTCTTTCAATCCCTTCGCTCTTGAATTAGTCCAGCATAGAATTATGTGGCTTATCCAAACCTTCCTATTGTATACTGCAAAGAGACAATCAACAGTCAGCACAATTTTCACTTCTGGTGTTCTCTTAAAAGATTACATAAATTGATATATGTAGTCTTTCAGTTTTTGGTGATAATATCTCCTATTCACATAGAATAACCTTCATATAAACTTTAACAATGCATTATCTAAACCCCTGAAAGGCATATTCTGTCTATTCTTCTTGAAATTCACACCCTTATAAATATTGACTTTTGTGTTTATTTACTTTTGTTTCAGGAGCATTTCACACCTGAGTGCAAATTCAAAGAATCAGTGTTTGAAAATTATTATGTGACATACTCATCGATGATCTACCGTCAGCAGCAATCGGGCCGAGGGTGGTATCTGGGCCTGAACAAAGAAGGAGAGATCATGAAAGGCAACCATGTGAAGAAGAACAAGCCCGCAGCACATTTTCTGCCCAAACCACTGAAAGGTAAATTCGATAGTCTATATACTATGGATTCTGTCATGAAAACTACTAATTAAATAAGTCCTTTTCATGCTTTTGCATGTGAAATATAATTCTTACATATTAGAGCATCTATCCATAAATTTTCAAGTATTTCACAGCACTAAAACCCATCAACACAAACCATGCCAATATTCAGACATTGACAGTAGCCTCTACTCTTATTTTAATTTACCCTTAGTAACACCTTTCTTAGAAAAAGGTACCAAAATTGCAAACTTAAGACAGATAAGAACCCTAAATTATAATAAAATGGCTTGTAGAGATTAACCCTGGATATTTGAATGTGTATATATTTAACCTTTATAGGAAAATCCCTTGGTCAAAATAGCCCTAAGAATTTTCATTCACAGTTTTCTTTTCAGATTCAAAGAGAAATAAGAGAGATAACTCTTATTTAGGGTTTCTATCGATGTGATAAAACACCATAATCTAACACCACTTGGGGTGGAAAGGATTTATTTAATCTTACACTGCCATACATCACAGTACATCACCTATGGAAGTCAGGACAGGAACACAAACAGGGAAGGAATCTGGAGGCAGGAGCTGATGCAGAGGCCATGGAGACGTGTTGCTTACAGGTTTGCTCATCATGGCTTGCCCAGTCTGCTTTCTTGTAGAACCCAGGACCACCAGCTCGGCCTGATTTCATGTGTCACCTAGAACCACCAGCCCAGGGTATCACTGCCCACTGTGGTCTGTACCCTCCCATACTATTTATTAATCAAGGAAATGCCCTACAGTCTTACCTGTGCAGCCTGGTGAGGGCATTTTCTTAGCGGAGGTCTTTTCTTACGAAATGATTCTACCTTGTGCCAAATTGACATCAAACAAGCCGCCACAATTGACTCCTTATCAGCTTGACACACAAGTACATGACTACTCAACTAGAACCTTTCCTTTCTTATTTGTCCCCACGATGGCATGTTACTATTATTATCACAGTGTAAAACATTCCAACTTTTCCAGTACCATAGCCTTCAAATATTCAAATATTTTAAAAGTTCAGTCTTTTCCAAACGTCCAAAACTATTTCAAGTTCAGAGTTTCTCTGAAATATTTAAAGTCTCTCTAAAATCCAAACTCTGTCTAAAATAGCTAATGTCTTTTAATTATGAGCTTCTGTAAAATCAAAAAAAAAACCAAATTATACACTTAATTCCTTTAGGAAGGAATAACCATAGGATAATCACAATCAAATCAAAGCAAAAGAAATATTCAACAATGTAAAAAGTTCAATGTTTGATGTTTGGGACCCAATTATGATGCTCTGTGTTCCAAAGTGCCTTGGGAGCAGCAGTTCATATCACACACAACTAATCTTCTAAGCTCAACCCAGCTCTGCTCCGCAGCTGGTGCTCTCCTTGGTGGTTATCCCATGTTACTGGCATCTCCAACGTGGTGGGATCTCTGTTTCATCTGGGCTACACTTTCACCAATAGCCTCTCTTGGGCTCCTCTCTTCAGGGACTGTAACCCTGCACATGGTGTCAATGCTCAGTGTTTCTCAATGACCTCTTCAATCCTGAGGCTTCTACTGTAACTGAAACTATACACTTACCAATGGCCTCTCCTGGCCTCTCTATGCAAAATCACAGCTGCTCTCTTTGAACCCTCCATTCCTTCAAAACTAGTAACATCTGGTAAGCACACATCATCAATTTTGACTGCCAGCACAAGGTACAGCCTTGGCAGCCTTTGGACCATAGCTCTGTGTGCTGACCATAAGGAAACACTTCTCAAAAGATTTTGCCTCAGTGATGCTGTTATCTTCTTAATTACATCTGATTCTTTAGCCCCAGCTGACAGGTATCAATTGTCCCCAAAAGTAAAAGTTCTACTTTGGTGGGTCTTAATTCAAAATATCACATAGCCCCATGGAGCTTTTAAGAGACACATTCAAAACTCCCCTCTGAAACTTCACAAGCCCATGGAGTCTTTAAGAGACACTCAAAACTCTCCTCTGAAACTTCACAAGCCTCTGTCATCCACTTTGCTCTCAGGGCTATATTCTTTGTTCCCACAAGTCACTAAGCTCTAGACAATCAATGGCTTTTCCAGCCCAACATTCCAGAATTCACTGTCCTCCGGAAAACATGCTCAGTTCTGTCAGAGAAATACCTAATGAACTGGTACCAATTTCTGTTTTAGTTAGGATTACTATTGCTGAGATAAAACACCATTACAAAAATCAACTTTGGGAGGAAAGGGTTTATTTCACTCGTTCTTCCACATCACAGCCCATCCTCAAAGAAATCAAGGCAAGAACCTAGAGGCAAGAACTAAAGCAAAGGTTTTACAGAAATGCTGTCAACTGGCTTCTTCAACCTGCTTTCTTACAGCACCCAGGACCACCAGCTCAGTGGTGGCACTATCCACACAGTGAGTTGAGCCCTCCCACATCAATCAAGAAAATTCCACTATAGGCAAGCCTACATTCCAATCTCCTGGGAGCATTTTTATTAACTAAGGTTCCCTCTTCCCAAATAACTCTATTTGTGTCAGATTGACACAAAACTAGCCAGAACAGATATAAAACTAAACTGAGAAATAGCAGCATTAGAGGGGAGACAGAGACGAGACAGTTCCAGCTTCATGGTTTACTAACTGGATGGTCAGATTGTGTTTCTTTGTCTGTTTGTTTGTAACAGAGTCTCACCTATGAAGCTGGGGCTTTCTAGTCCCAGTTGGCCTCAAATTCATGTTCTCCCTTCCTCAACCTCCAAATTGCCAGAATTACGGGCATTTGCTACCGTGCCCCACTGTTAACTGAATGATCTTGAAATGTTACTTACCTACATGTGCCACATGATCTTCAGTAAAATATAAGTCAGAGAATTCACTGGCTACTTAGTGATACCAGGGCAGCCTAGGCTACCGTCAGACCCTGTCTCTAGAAAAAACGAGTTTTTATACCATAGCATTCTTACAAGGACAAAATGCAGTGATACATATGGTGAACTTAGTATCTGGCACATTATAATTCACACTTATGTGCTACTAATGTGATTTATAGCCCAACAATAATAATTGTTACCACTTATTGTCATAGGAAACATGCTAATATTTGTAATCTTTAGAGAGTTTTACTTAAAGTATGATAAAAATCAATGTTTTAAATGTGTAAAATTTTAATATGAAGCGTTCACAGTGTGTTATAGATTATATTTAAACTTCTGATACCATTATTAAATGTGTTTCATGTATATTAAAGTGTCGGTGATAGAAGTTAGGTATTAAAATTCCATATGTGTGACTATATGAGGACTAACATTCATTTAACCTAGTTTCATCCACACTGCTAAATACTTGTATGTTTGACTTAAGGCATAGAAACTTACTAACCACAATGTTTGTTTTTGTCCGTTGTGTTTGTTTCTTTTCAATTTTCAAAATTAAATCTTTTGATAAATAAAAGCTGTTTATTGTGTATAAGATATTGCAAAATATGTATTCACTGTGGACTGGCTAAATTGAGATAACGAACGTGAGCTTTGCTTCCTGGATTTAGAAGTTTTAAAACAAGAACATCTAGGATCTGTTGTGGAAACTTGGAACAGTGCAGTACATTAATGTGCCCCTTTAAAGTCCTTTTCCACCATCTCTGTGCTTTTCAGTGGCCATGTATAAGGAGCCGTCTCTGCATGATCTCACGGAGTTCTCCCGATCTGCGACCAAGAGCAGAAGCGTCTCCGGTGTGCTGAATGGAGGCAAATCCATGAGCCACAATGAATCAACGTAGCCAGTGAGGGCGAAACAAGGGCTCTATAACAGAACCTTACCTCCAGGTGCTGTTGAATTCTTCTAGCAGTCCTTCATCCAAAAGTTCAAACTTATCGGTGAGGTTTACCAAACACACAGGCAGAGTTCCCTATTCTATCTGCCATGAGACCTTGTTATAATCCATACTAAAGCCCCATAATTTAGATTGAGCTTGTGCAAAACAATGCCAAGCGTTATCAATGAACTAAATCTGGAAGAAGGACTGCCAAATTTTCTCATGATCTCACCTATACTTTGGGGATAACACAGCAAAAATATTTCACAGCACTCAGGCTGGTAAATTTGTTTCCCAACCAAGAAAATTTAAAAGACCACAACTATTCTTTAAAAAGAAAACAAAATAAAATTAACTGCTTAAATGTTTTGTAGGGGCAAACAAAGTCTGTGAACTGTGTTGCTTTCTTGGCTTCATGTTTTCTATCTATGCTTGATTCAAATGTACTCTTTAATATAGTGAAATTGTATGATTTCTGAAATCCAATGATTCTATTGACTCTGTCACTTAACCCAAATCAACCACATTAGGGTTGATTCTGAATTGGCTTCTCAGGCAACAGTATTCTTACAGATTTTCCTCTCCCTCCCTTTCCACTTCTCTCCCTCCCCCTCCCTTTCTCTTTCTCTCTCTTTCTTTTTTGTTGTTAATTAGAACTGTAGCATTCTGGTCAAGTTCTTGTGCTGTACTTTGTGCGTAGAAATTGAGTTGTATTGTCACCCCAGTCAGTAAAGATAAGTTGAAACAAGATTATCCTCAAGTGTAGATTTCTCTTAATTCCATTCGTGTATCACGTTAATCTATTATTGTGGCTTCTTGTGTAAAGACGGGAACTGTGGAACAGTGGTGTCGTCTTTTGTGTTGTTCAAATCAGAATTGTCTCATCTGTATATGTACAAGTCCCCTGTTATTGTATTTGGCACGTGAACATTGTATTGTGTACAAAGAAATGTTAAGACTGGTTCCCCCTAAACAACATATATTATACTTGCTACTGGAAAAGTGTTTAAGACTTAGCTAGCTTTCCATTTAGATCTTCATATCTGTTGCATGGAAGAAAGTTGGAATCTTGGCATAGAGTTGCATGATATGTAAGATTTTGTGCATGAATAATTGTTAAAATCTGTGTTCCAAAAGTGGACATAGCATGTACAGGCAGTTTTCTGCCCTGTGCACAAAAGTTAAAAAAGTTGTTTAATATTTGTTGTTGTATACCCAAATACGCACCGAATAAACTCTTTATATTCATTCAAAGAAAAAACAACTTCAATGTATATTTATTGTCCACTATGTGTCATCAAGTGTATTAGAAACTGGACTTAAATACTAAATTTCATAGATAAGGCTGCCATGCGACTACTTTAGATAAGCAACATTATAGACATCTGTGTTCACATGAACACTCTTTAAAGTGTGTCTCTGAATCTTAAACTTTCACAATGGTACTGAAGAATCCTCATTGTCATTCTGCAATCAAAGTGTACACACATGCTTAGTCACTCCTTCTGCATTCACAGTGTCATCACCGTCCCTTTGACTCATTTCTCTCCTCTGTAGAGGGAAAAACAAGACTAAATAGCTAAATTCTTCTGCATCTGGAAGAATGGAAGGAAAATATAAGCCTTCTTTTTCTGTGGATGCCTTTTCTCTAGCTTTTCCCAGAGCTTCTGATGCTTGGCCATGAAGGCTTTTGGGAGTAGTCAACATGCGAAGAAGGGTGGAGCAAACCAAACCAAGGGGTATGTTTTAAAGCACATGTAACATAGTTACCAGAGCACCAACAGCTTTTGCAGAGAGATAAAGGTGATGATTCCCAAGATGTTTGGGCCAGACTCAGCAGAAGCTCCTCACCGGCCTCAGCCCAGTTACTTTGTGGCTCTGAGGCTCATCTGCAGGAGATAAGGCACTGGCCTGTCTTGAACTCAAGAGCTGTTGTATAAACACCAGTAGACTCAATTTGTTCCCTTGGCTGATCTCCCTTTGTCCAAACACCTTAATTTAGTTTTTGGCTGCTTGGGTCGCTGGTCTTATTTTTGTTCATTATTCAGGAACATGGTAAGTCTACTTGTCATAAACATATCAGCACTTTGGTGTGTCAGTGAAGCCCTGCAAGTACAAAAGTGTCAAAATGGCCAAGAAGAAAGTGTACTGTCAGAAGAATTCTCTTTGACCTACCTTGGTTTTCATTTTGTTTTGTTCAAACAGTCCCACTATATAGACATTGCTGGTCTGGAACCCACCATGGGTGGCCTCACTGCAGTCCTCCTGCTTGAAGTTGTTTTGAACAGCGTGCATGCATTAAAACAAGTAAACAAAGAATTCAGAACTGTCTATATAAGCAGTGGTGGTGCTTGTACATGCTTTACTGCACATACATTTACATACTCTTCATGGCAAAAATATTGGTCCTACCATGAAATTAAACACATAAAAATGCTCTATGATGATACAGAAGACTGAAAACACTGTTGGTTCCCTGACTTTCACATACAATCAGAATCACCTCCAAAGTCCCAGATTTCTGGGGCTCACCTCCAGTTGTTCTAATTTACATTGGGGCCAAGACGCTGAATTTCTATCTGGTCCCTGTGTTGTATTGAAGCTGCACTCTTCCCCTCCTTGAATTAAAAGTGTGCTTGAGTCCATCGCATGCTATTGAGCCCCCAAGATAACTTTTAAAAAATGTTAGGATATATAAGGCTGACTACAGAGCCTTACTTTTACAGAGCACCTATTGGCACCATGGAAGAGGGGTGGCCCTCTCGCCTTTTGTCAGTCCTAGAATCCCACTGTAGTGCTTATATATGTGCATGGTTTTAAAGTGGCTTTGGGAAATCTCCTGAATTGGGTGCTGGCCATAGTTGGAAAAAACAATGATCTATGGCATAGCACCTGACCTCACATTACCACGGGGAGTATCTATCTAACTCTTACACTGGGTAGAGCCTAGAAGCAAATGGGAAAAGATTATTTTCTTCATTCCATTTCTTTGCAAACAAAACAAGTTCTCCTCCCAACCAGTAGTTTTGTTGGTACCTCAAGAGGGCCCAGGTACAAGTTTGAAAGCATCCATTTCCCAAATGAATATGTGGAGAGGGTGAATATCTAATAAGATTATCTTTCCATCTGTGGAGGTTGATTAAAACCATTCTGTGTATGAGTGGTGATAGACTCACAACAGATACTCACTCCGAATAAATTTCATCCTGAACTGCCTTAAAAACCTCATGAGCTGAAGTGCACTATTTGTGCGTTAAATTGCAAGGCGCTCTCACTGGGATGTTTCAGAAATACCCAGCTTTCTGCCAACAATCTCATCAAGGAACTCTATCTATACATTGTCTATCATATTTTCAAAATTCTTTCAACCTCTATTCAAAGCCAGTTCCACTTTTTAGGGAGAATCTCACTAGCTAGTCCAAAAACCTAGACTGGGTTATAGTAGTGCCACAAGACACGATGATTTCCAGTAACAAAAATAATTGGTGAGTTTTAACTAGAATAGGACACTATAACTCCAGTTTCATAATCATATTTATAAATATAATTTGTCATGACTCTATACACAAAATATTGTACCATGGTATGAGCTGATGCATTAGCTATGCTGGAATGAAAAATACCTAGCTATCCTGCCATGAATTTCCCTGGTTACTGTGGAAGATTTCTGTTGCCTCAGCTAAACTTTACCCCCTTAATTATCAAGAATCCTGTACACAGTAGTGAACTCAAAGAGTTGCCTGTATATTGGATGACAAAGAAAGGAATCCTGGGGACAAATGATCCACCTGCCCTTTTCCCTGATTTTCTAGTACTAAAAGCATATTCTACAGTGTGTTTTTTACAAGGACATTATTTGTGGTGCTGAGAATTAAACCCAAGGCCTAGTGAATGCTAGGCAAATACTCTACTACTGAGCTGTATCCACACTCCTCTGTATAGACATTCAGTTGCCTACCCTTTCCAAGTTTGTCTAGTTTTTTAACCCACCAATTCTAGTTCATGTTACTTGAAAGCTCCTAAATGTGGGGCCAACCATGTGATCACCTCTCCTCATGCTGGAATATTTACCAGCTTTATCTTATACAAGTATAGTGCAGATAATCCCAGCTGCTGAGACTTCATGAGTGTAAAGGCACTGTCATATTCAGAAGGCATTGTTTCTCTCTGAACCTTCCTGGCCTTACCACCATTCCATCCAATGGTTTCTGAGCCTTAAGAGGAAGTTTTGTGATATAGATGTCCCATTTATGTCTGGTCTCTCCACTGACACTTTATTCTCAGAACTTTGACCAGTTGTGAGTTGTTGCATTCATTGCTGTCCAATGCACATACAAAGAGCTGCACTTTTCTATGTGCATAAAGATTAATTTAAAAATGTCTAATATTATGTCTATTCAGCTGAACAATCATAGTAGGCTCATTGATGAGATGTAGGAACTTCACCCCAAATTTGTAGTACTTTGTATTTCTTCTCATGGAGTGAGCCTTAAATCCAATAATATAGAGATTGCTTATCCCTATAACATTCATGCCACTATTGCACCCACAGGCATACCTTACCATGATAGTCACTGCTAAGTAAGATGATGATTTTTCCACAGCAGCCTGCATAGCACCTTCCAGTTCTATGAAAACTAGCCAGCCAGGTGAAAGCGTTATGTGGACATTCTTTTTTATTTTTTAAATAAATTTTATGTAAATTCAAAAGAGTCTTATTTTACATATCAGTCCCAGTTCCCTGAAGAGGTTTGCAACAGCTACAATTCTGCATAAGTCTTTCTAGAGCATGTAACATTCATGATGTTGAGCATTAGAATTCTAAAATAACCTAACATCAACCCAATTTCTCAGTTTTTATGTTTGTTCCAAATACTTCCTCCATCTGCAAAATGTCACACATGCACAAGCACAAATCCTGGTGTGCCTCCCAAAAGACTTTGATTGGAGAATGTTCATAGGGAGACTAGAAATCAAACTTAGAAATCCATGGTTCTGTCTTCAGAAGCCGTCCTGAACTTCCTTAACCTAAGAGTTTACCCAGGATTTTCCTACAATATATTAACATATTTGCATATATTTTGCACTCTAAATAATTATGTGTATTCTTAAAATCCTTTGCTTCCATTGCTACATGAGACTACTATTAGAGTGAAAACATCGGGTGATGGCTGAATGAAAACCCAGCATCTTTGAATCATTGCTCAGCTTGTGCTGTGGATATTTATTAACTTATAAACTGTCACCATTGCACAGCATGTTGCTGAGACTTGGATGAAGCATCCACACAAAGATAAATGGGTGGAAACAGAGTCAGTCCTAGAGAAAAAGAGATATTCTAGAGTTTAGCAAGAGTGAAATATGTTTCATTTCTGGAATTAACAAAGTAGAACTACAGCTCTTCACATACATTAACGTACTAGCATTCCAGATACTGTGTGTACACATGCGTGTGTGTGTGTGTGTGTGTGTGTGTGTGTGTGTGTGTGTGTGTGTGTGTGTGTGTGTGTGTTTGTTGGATCAGAAGACTAAATAAGCCTTCTGTCTTCTATATTTATTTACTTCTATGACCTAATTAATTTACTCATTCTGCTTCTACATATATTAATTTATTCATTTTTATGACCTAATGAGTTTTAGAGCAGAAAGGTAATTGGAGGTGACTATGCCAGAAAAACACATTGCATATATGTATGACAATGACATGATATCACCTCCTAATATTCTGTTATGTATAATCATCAAATTCTAATAAAGTTTCTTTTAAGTGGATTTCACTCACAGTCCCATCAAAGACAGGTTTCCAACCTGTAGGCCACAACCCTTTTGTGGGGGTCAAATGACCTGTCATAGGAGTCAAATAACAGATATCCTACATATCAAATATTTATATTATAATTCACAACAGTAGTAAAATTACAGTTATAAAGTAACAATTAAAAGAATTTCATGGTTGGGGATCATCACAAAACATGAGGAACTGTATTAAAGGGCCACAGCATAAGGAAGGGTGAGAACCACTGTCTAGACCATCAACATGAGGAACTGTATGAAAGAGTCACAGTATTAGGAAGGGTGAGAACCACTGTCTACACCATCAACATGAGGAACTGTGTTAAAGGGTCACAGCATAGGGAAGTGTGGGAACCACTGTCTAGACCATCCACATGAGGAACTGTATTAAAGGGTCACAGCATTAGGAAGGGTGAGAACCACTGAATAGACCATCAACATGAGGAACTGTATTAAAGGGCCACAGCATTGGGAAGGGTGAGA